AGGGATGTCGATCTGTTCAATTAACTGGCACCAGACTCACTGCAAGTTTTTGTATAGGTCATATACGCGCAACACGCCACTACGATTTTGATTGATGTCGAATGCTAGGGCGCACCCCTCAGACGGCACTGATTCACGGAGTGCCGCAATAACTCTGATTGGTTGCTGTTTGAAACAAGTATCACTCTTGAAATCAGTCAGAAATTCATGTTGCATTTACAATGTCCATGTACCACATTCAAAGCTCCAACCATTTTTTCACTTGAAGAGCTTCCTTCGCAAAAGTCTCTATTTCCCAGCCGTGCACCTCAGAAATACGTACCTGACTTCCAAACGTCATTTGCTCATCCATTAACACACCTCTTGAAATAACCTCCCAGTTTTTGTTACTTCCAGCAATTCCATCGAATACATAACAGCTTTCTCTCCTAGGTGGAGTCCTAGCAGCATGAAGCTTTTTCCTCCCTACTTCCATTTTCGATTATATTTGAGCTTCTTAAGAATAAAATGTACTGGACACGATGAGCGTGCGAGAGGCATGCCCTATCGTTAGTGATGTTAAGTTGTTAAAGCTTCGTCAGGCCAAGTCGTCCGGAGGTCTCCTTTCCATATGATCGCCATCATGCAGAATCAAATGCTTTCAGAACGCATCTTCTAGCCATTTTCACCTTGGAAAAATCTGTCGTCTGAAACAATTAAATTGCTTCCTTGAAAGGCTTTTGAGAGGATGTCGTCGAACAACATCCGTCTTCGAGAGCGTAAGCTCAGTAGATAGCTTCGATATTCGTCTTTGAAATTTTTCATACGTTCCCCTACAATTTGTTTTAAGTAACTTAGGCCACCGACGAAACCCATTTCCATCCCTAAGAGGCATTCGCCCAGCTCTGAAAAGGCATTCAAATGGAATCGATAGGCTTTCTATGATTGTGCATATGAGCTTTCAACACACTAAGTAGACAGCTGTGTCACTTTGTGGAAAGCGGCATTCAGCTGCTTGGAACAATCGAAATCTGTGGATTGAGAGGTTCTCCTTATTCTTAGGATTTTTAAAGATCAGTTCTCCTCACTATTTCTCCTGAGCGCAACACGAATTATCAACAGCATAGTCAACTATTTCCGAAAAAGAATGTAGAGTCCTCAATATATCACTTTATTTTAGCCGATCTTCCACAGGTGAACCGGTTGCGTTCAAAGTCGATGGAGAACGTTTTGAGGGAGGATCGAAGACGTTGAAGTTCTCCACAAATGCCAAGTACAAAATAACGCTAAGCAGTAAACCGCCTGCTGAATTCCAGTGAGTAATATGAAAAAGTGTCAAACAAATAATCAGAACCAATTCATTCATTTTCTAGTGACAGTTTCGGATACTTCATTCTTCTACACACTCAATTATTCCTTATCAGTCCTACCCACAACAGATCTTTTGACCAAGGTTTAGGAGGTTATAGGCCCTGGTAGGGATCAGTAGGTAGTTCTTCTAATTGGTGGCTAATACAGGCGCCACATTTGCTTTCGAAGGAGCTGGAATTCTAGCTCGTTTTTCTCACTAAAACGCACTAGAGTGTAAACTGAACATAACTACAATCGAGGGGTTTATATACCCCAATGAGATCACTATTTAGGCGGGAAGGTGGTCGTGGTTTCAACAGAACCAGTGTCCTATGACCCCTACAACACATGGTCTTTGGTTTGAACAGTTTTACCACCACATAGAATAGAAAAAGTCGATAGTCATGAAACTGAATTTCGTGCAACGTAAAAATAACATCCTTTTGGTCATTCTTTTTTTGAATTTTCACTATTCACTATTGTGAAGTTTTGCATGAAGATGTCCAAATTCGTAACGAACAATACCATTTGAGTTGTGTAATTGCTACTTTTAGATACTTCCTATTAGAAAAATACGTTTCTCCACATTATGTTCGAATTTTTCTGTTGAATTTCTACCTTCTTGCATGAAAATAGAACTCTTTAAACTAAAGACCATGAGGATTCTGAGTTGAAAAATAAAAATTCTTAAAGTTCCATTTTCTCACCATTCTCATCATTCGCCATCACTCTCATAGGTAAGATGAGGTTAGTTACGATTAAAGGGAGGCGCGTAATAAAGGTGAGGTTAGTTACGATTGAGGTCACTTCGCACCTCGTCACGAATTAATCACAGTCGTAACCAACGTCGCCCACCCCCCATTTCCCTCACTCCCCCGACCCTCTTTGCTGGGCTAATAAATAAATAAGGGACACACAAGAATAACACGTCCATCCTGTACGTTAAGATATCTATTTCGAGCTTCTTCATTAGCAATGAAAGAACAATTTCATTTCAGCCATATGCACCTCGCGGGTTGTGATTTACAACTGCACACAGATGATCCGAAAAGCGGTCAATACTCTACCGAATGGAACACGACCGGTATCGATGTGTGCAAAAAAGGAGCTAGGAACAATATTGGATTGATATTACAGGTTTCTTGACTTCATTTCAATGACTAACCAGTAAGTCTCCGCATGCCTCATGAGATCTTGAATCGGCTGCAACGGATGTATATGAGGTGTTGTATTATCACGGTTAACAAGGGCAGCACGGGTACGGGAACATTGTTTCGATCGCAGCTAATAAAGCTCGCCTCGCACCTAGGCGCGAAGTGACCTTGATTAGGTGCGAAGACTAAGCGGTAATTGTGCCTGCCAGCACTCGCTTCTAATCGAGTTAGAACTTGTCGACTAGAGAGGACAATGACAGTTAAAAAAGTGGAGATTCTAGTGACAGAAACAGTTTTTTTT